TTTAAAATATTATTATTTAACATATTTAAATCACATGAAGCATAATTTACATACATACACTATAAGTTAAACAATATGATGTTTTACGTAAATTTGCATATTGTTAATGGATGATTTAGTTGCTTAATATTGTTTTAGCAATTTAAATGGATGGATATTGGCATTAAACTAATTTAATCAATTAATTGGATTTAAATAGTTTAATTACATCCTGGAGGTTGAAACAATCTATTTGAGCTGCATGTTAATTTATTATATTGTAAAGATTAAATGCATGCTACTTAGAGTTGTTATTTTGCTTAAATATATGCAAGGATTATATATGTGATTTTTATCATGTTATTTTGGATTATTGGATGTACTGCTTTATCTATTGCATCATGTATTGGATTGTGTGGTTTAATGCACCAGTATGGGATGGTGACATTCTAGGGACAGATTAACTTATTAGTTAAGTCCTACCTATTTTATGTAAAGGGATGGATTAACTAAAAAAATGTTAAGTCCTACCTATATTTAAGTCAGGTCAACTGAACAAGTTGAATGACTTATAGAGGATTAATTATAATTGGATAGGATGAATTTTATATATATGATTATAGAACCATGATATGAACTTGAGTCTCAAGATCATGGTTAAGGTGCGTATATTGCCACGAATGTGTAGCTAGATATAGTGTAGTTATGTACCATGGTAGGTCTAGGTACTCATACTCACTATATGTGCGTTTTACATGTTGCCTACTATTCAGGTTGAGACAACCCTATAGTCTAGTGAGGTTCCTTTTAGTGTGTATCTATATATATGCATGGACTACTAGATATTATTGGATTGACTAGGGTGTATACATGTATTGGATCTCTGCTTGGACTGTAGTAGAGTAGAACTTGTTTATGAACCTGACCCACCATTATTTTTCAGGTGTTCGTCAGGAGAAGGGATTGTTCGTGCTAAGCAGGGATCATCTACTTCATTCTTCTGGTTTATCTACCTAGGAGTTTCCTTTATGATTTAGTATCTAATTGTAAACAGTTGTTTACTTTTGATTATTCTTTTGAAATTTTCTAGGGGTCCACACGGTATGGATTCCCAAGTTGTATTATTGGAGGATTAATTGTATCAGAATAATTTATTTTTTAATGAAATTTTATTCTGAGGTTTCAATTAAAGGATTTATCATTTTAGTTTTCTTTCAAAAATTTAATTATTCTTATTTATCTATTTTGTACTCTGTGTTCGATTATTACCGATTTGTTTTTTATATCATCGGGTATTCGGGCGTTGGCATGGCCAACCCGCATCCGGAAATCCGGGGGTATCACACCTCTGCTCGTTAGAGTGATATCATTTCTCCTTTTTTCTGTTAATCTTTATCACTTCTTTTTTTTCTCCTTTCTCGTCCTTTGTCAATTTCACTGCTTTCGTGCTTGATATCTCTTCTGATCTTTTCTGATCTTGGGTGCTCTTTATGAGATGGAGTCTTCCTACTCTCATTTCCGTTACTCCTCTAATTTGTTCGACCGGAAAGGTAAAAGGGAGTTGTGGGGTGTAAAGTTGAGGATTTTGCGCACTAAACGGATTGTGACCCCATCCTTGCTGCTCTTCCCTTTTGATCCGAGTATTGTGCCTATTTTTTTTGTTTTCCTATCTATTGTATTGTGCCTCCTGGTGTTTGTTGTTTACAGGGTTCTATGCTTGCCTTGCTTTTCCTCTTCCCATGGGTGGGAAGGCTTCTGTTTGATGGCTGGGTTTTCTGGTCATCGCAATACTCGGCGATGTTTTTTTAGGGCGATTGTTGAATATATGGTTGCAGAGTCGTCGAAGCCGTATTTGTCTTTGCTGTCTTGGTGTCGGTGGCGTTTACTAGCCAATCATCCATGTCTTTTAGGCAAATATGGCCATCGAAGTTATTTAATCTTGCAAAGGTGATATTTATGCTTCATCAGATCTAAAGTTTCAAGGATTATGTTCTGTTGATTCATGGCCATGATGTTGTAGCTTGTTTGTTGGTCCTTTATCCTTCGCCGATCAGCGTTGTGTTTAGTCCGGCCGCCATTGACTATGGGTCATGGCCGGACGTTGCCGGACTGAATTACCAGGTTAGTACACATCCAATGTGGATATTTGTTCCTACTAACTATGCTTGGTGGGGGAACTATGTTATAGATGGAGTTCACGATGATAGAGCTTACGGGGATGGCAGCACGCTGACGATCTATCAATCCACTCTGTTTTGGTGATGTGCGGTGTTATGTTGTCCTCGTTTGTCGCCTCGTGCTGTGTGGTGTGAGTTGCGGGTCCACCTATCAAAGTTTGTAATGATGGTCATTATGGTGCGTGGGAAGGAAGCCACTCCAACAGGTTCTAGTGGGTTCAGCCCATTAGTCGTGGTTAATCCTGATGATGTTTAGTAATCTTGTCTTGTTTGCCTTGTAATCTTCAAGTGTTGTAATCTTATTTTGTTTGCCAGGGTCAAAAAAAAAAAAAAAAAAAAACGCATGCTCCAATAAAACAACCTATATCTCAACCAACACTAATGCACTAGTACCGAAGCCAGTATTTTTTTCAATGGGGCAACTTCCAATGATAATATAATAAAAAATTGGGAAAAATTAAAAAGAAAAAAAGAAAAAAAAAAAAAAAGAAAAAAGGAAAAAAAGGAAAAAAGGAAACCCTGAACTACACATTTCTGTGGCAGATAGCCCCATCTTGCGATGTGTTGATTGGATCTCACTGGTAAAATGATCATGTGTGGTCACGTGACACACAATATATTACTTAATGACTGTAATGTCCTTATAAGCATGAAAAAACTATATTTTCCCTTATTGTAACCATTACATCTAAACACTTCTTTAAATGACTCTTACACCCAAACATACCCTTGTACACTTCTGTCTATATACACAAATATATACATTGTTCATCTTCTTTACAAGACATGTTTTCTAATAAATAAATATTAAAAAAAATGGCCAAAATGAGCCATTCTCGATATTTGGGTGTGTTGTGCTTTGTGTTGATATCTATGTATACACACACATATGTCAATCAATGGATCAGATATTGACCAGATCACGGTTGATCAAATCCGAATTCGATAAGCATATAAGACGATTCGATCCAATCCGCTAATCCGACGAATTTTCATTTGATGAATCCATATCCGATTAACACTTAATCAGATGTCTAATCCTATTGAATTATATATACTTATATACAAATCAAGCAATTGGGCCAAAAAAAATGCTCACTCTAACTGAATCTAATGCCATGTTTTTTTTTTTTCTTTCTTAGTTAAACACTAAACTAATCACTATAATATTTTTAAAAATTCAATTGAAGGCAGAAGAGAAGATTACAAATTTTCTACCGTGGAGATACAATAACTTGTTTTTGTACTCTTCTCTCAAGAACTAATAAAGAGAGAAAAATGAGACTAAGATGGGAAAGCAGAAGAAGAAGATGAAGAGAAAAAAAAATCTTAAACAACTTTGTTGTGCAAAAGTGAAAATTAGGGCATCAAAATTAGGGATTCTAGTGGAGAAGAAGAAAAAGAATAATAGAAGGAAAAGGAGAGATGGGTGAATAAGCAAACAAAATACTCACTAAGCGAGAGTTCTGGTTAATTAACGATCTCCCTTTCCCCTCATCGACAATTTCTCCAACCTGAAAGAGAGTTTTCATTTTGTGGGTTATTGAAGCTAAGGTGCCGGTCCTGAGATTCCCAAAATTTTGAGAAGCCCTAGTCAAACTATCAAATGCGAGAACAAAATACTCACTAAGCGAGAGTTCCGATCAATTAATGATCTCCCTTTCCCTTCATCGACAATTTCTCCAACCTGAAAGTGAGTTTTCATTTTGTGGGTCATTGAAGCTAAGGTGCCGGTCCTGAGATTCACAAAATTTTGAGAAGCCCTAGTCAAACTATCAAATGCGAGGCCCTTTATGTTTTACATGCGCACAACAAATTATAATAGTGCGAAATTTACACACGATGTTTTCAAATTCTACGGCTAATATAATTGTGCGTCTGTGCATTGTGCATAAGACAACTAACTAATAACTATAAATTAATAATTCTGCATTTGTGCAGTGTGCATAGATAACTACCTAATAACTAAACTAAAAAAAAAAAAAAAGACAACTTTTATTTGTAGATTAATTGTTTTTCCTTTTCTGAATATGGGGGGACTGTTGTGAAAAAAAAAAAAAAAAAAAAAAAATTACAAAACTTAGTGGATGAGATGTATCCAACATTGTCATTGTTTTAGGCATGAACAAAGTTAATGCTTTGATGGCGTAAAGTTTAACTTTCAAAAACAATCAAAGCCTTTTTAAATTATTTTGAATTTGCTATATGAATCATGCATTTTCATTCCATTTCATTCAAAAATGTTGAAAAGTTCTTACCACAACAACAAAATGAAGAACACAAGCTCAAGAGTTTGTGTCAATTCTTTCCCAAAACTCCAAAATTCAGTGCTTTAAATAACATTTATAACAATTTTACTAATTTCATTTTTTATTATAGTCCAACCCTCTCCATTCGAAAGATGGCACTAGTAAAAATAGTCCATCTTCAAATTTCAAAATAGAGAATTTACACATGTACCAATTCTATTATTTTTTAGACTGACATATTCAAACCTACTAATATTTTACAAAATCTTTGCGTCAAAATAATAAAAATAAAAAATACATAAATTACAAAATCGACTTGCCAAAAAAGAATCATAGAGCCTGGATATATGGCATTCACTTATTATAAAAAATAAAGTAAAAATAAAATATAAATAAATAAAAAAAGAAACCAGAGTAGTTTAACACTAAGATAGGTTGCAATTCAGGTTCTCTCCTTCATACTTCTCATAGATTTCACCAAAAAAAAATACATAAAGAAGACACTAATGCAAGCATCAATAGGCCATACATACAGCACACTGTAATGCCAACAAAATATTAAACTTCCACTTAACATCACAAAACCCAATACAGATCACAGAAACTTATTGAGTATCTCCAAAACTGACTGATCCAATCCACTATTATTTGATAAATTCAATAAAAGGGTCATAATACATGCATCGATAGAGAATCCTTTCTCAACCATTTCTTGAAGAAGTTGCATTGCCCTTAACGTCTCATTGTTTCGAAGAAATCCCTGCACAATTATGTTGTAAGCGCAACCATCTGCTGAACAACCACTCTCTTCCATTTTCTTGAGCAGCATGTTTGCTTCAGTTAACAACCATTCCTTACAAAGTCCATTGATCACAATACTATATGTGCGAACATCAGGTTGCAACCTTTTGGAAAGAAGACTATAAAAGAGTTCCCTTGCATCTTTAATGCTTCCAGCTCTGCACAAACCATCAATGAGGATGTTGTAAACCACAATATCAGGATGCAGTCCACTTTCTTCCATGTCTCGAAACAAGGCCATTGCCTCAGTCAGGCATTGGTTCTTACACAATCCTGTTGAGATTTATATGCCCTGGCATAGCAAATTCCTATTTGGATTATAGTGACAAATGTTCCTGACGTTTTCTAAAATATTTATACTCTATACAATTGGTGAATTCAATGTATTATGTTTCGATTCATTATAGAATTGATAGTGTCCACTTGATTACAAGAGATATTTATATATGTATGTGATGGCGATCAATACATGAATAGAAATAGTAATCATAAATTGTTCATAGTCGATAATTATGGATGGACTCATAATTAATTAAGACTTGAACTGGATCCGTGTTAGGTTGACATAAATTGCGAGAGCCGTCGTATGGAATTGCTCCCTATCATTGTCATGGCATTTGACTCTTAAGCATGAGAGAAGTATAGACTCTTTTATTAATTAATAATTACTTTGATTTGTTCGGCGGATACTTCGGGATCCTTAGACCGACAATTTGGGTAGTTATGTAATTAATAGTTAGAGGGTTATATTTTCAATATTTGCATCATTGTTACTTGTATTTATTTTGTATTGATTATGGTTGATCACAAATTAAATTCAAAGGCCTTCGTGTGTTTTTAGACAAAATGATTTATTTTATATTTGTTTATTTAAATTATTATTTTTTTGTCAAACAAATGTTTTATTGTGATCGAGCCAGATATAATCAATGGTACCAAAATAAATATATTAATTAAGTAGTCGGATTGATGGCTTTATTTATCCGATAACTAATTATGCATAGAGGGGTCAAAGTGCAGCATTGACTTAAAGGTTATTTATTATTAATTGGAGTTCAATTAATTTCTTTTAGTGGAGTAGAAATTAATTTATGAATTAATTGAATTGGGTCCATGGACCAGACCAATTATTAATTCATTGTAGCCAATAAAATAATAAGCCCAAAGGATTCTCACTCCCAACTTGATATTGGAATCCTATTAGATTTGAGACATGTAAATTAGAAATTGAGAAGGATTTATTGTTTCCTTTTCTTTATCTTTATATTGCCCATATATACATGGTCAATGTACATTTTAGGGGTGATTTTTTTGGAAAAAGGAAAAAGGAATATAGTTTCTCTCTCTAGAAAATTAGGGTTAGTGTTCTCATCTAAAGGCAAAACAATTACCTAGAAAATAGAGATTCAAGGAGAAGGCATTTTGCTAAGGTATCTACAATAAGTGAGAACATTCACTTTAGAGGAAAGATTTAAAGGTTTACTCAGACCTTTGATGTAAGTATTCAATCTATTAATTGAATGATACGTCATATTTTATTTTTGCATAAAACATGCCTCTATGTGATGAATCAAGATCTATGAATCAAAATCTCTCAAAAAGTTTTTAAAACTAACACATTACCCAACAGTGGTATCGGAGCATGGTTTGATTCATTACTAGAGATCATGTTTTTATCAAAATTCATCATTCATGGATCCAATTTTGATATGTATATATATATATATATTGATACATAATAATGTATGTATAATTGTGAATGGATAATGATATGTGTTTGGGTTATGGATGAAACTTACAGGTTGTTTGAATGTAATTTTATCTTTGGATGAATGTAATTAAGGCTTTGATTTAGCCGTTTGAAAGTTCAGTGATATAATTTAATTTTTTTCATTATATTTCAAATTATAAATATTTTTAAAGCCATGTAATATTTATCAAAGGATTCTATCAAGCTTCAAGAAGGTCCAACAGGGTTAAATTAGGCTTTAGGAATTTTCTGGGATTTTTCTGGAAATTTTCGGAATTTTTTTGGAATTTTTTGGGCTTAATTTAATTTTCTGGAAATTTTTTATTATTTTTCTGGAATTATCGGCGATTTTCCGGTGACCGGAGTGTCGCCAGCAAGGTAACGTTAGAAGGGATGAAAGTTGATCCCATGCTTCGCGTTGCACCATTATTCAGTACAACAAGATCCACAATCGTTGCATCAGAAGTCAACATTGAGGTTTTATCCCATGCAGCACACCAATCCTACATCTGGCACGTGAGGAGCACGCGCCAAGTCAAATAGGGTGAATCAGCTTGCTGGCGAGTGAGGAGCACGCGCCAAACAAGCCTTGAACCTCCCACACGCGTGGCAGCGCGTTAAGGAGCGTGCCACGCGCCTGTTGCTGCCTCCAGTGTGTGGTAGGGCGTGAAGGCGGGTGCCACGTGCCTGTTGCTATCCCCAGCACGTGGAGATAGGGTGCTGCATCCCTCAGGCGCGTGCCAGCGCGTGTGGGGTCCTCCGGGCGCGTTCCAAGTGTTGTTTTGCCTCCGCAGGTGCGTACCACCTCCCTGCAGGTGTTTACAAGTCTTTGATTGACCCTCGTGCAATTATTAGAGCAATTAAATGTTAAAAGCTAAATCTATAGGCCATTTTTATTTGTTTTATCTGTCATTTATTGATGTATGTAATGCATGGAATAGATAATTGTTTATTAATTATTATTCATGCATTGGATCCATGATATTTAATTAAATGACTTAATTTATATTAATTAAATTATGAAAATTAATTGGATTTGATTGCTAATTAATTTGAGAGCACTTATTGGGAAATGAAAAATTATTTTTGTAAATTATTTTTAAAGTGTGCTTCAAATTAAATATTAGTGAATCATTTAAAAGTCCAAATATTTTCTAAATTTAATTGGATTAAGATCAAGGCGTTTTCCATGCATTATATCATGTAATTGAATAAATTGAAAATCCTAATTATGAATGATTAAAAATTGAGTGGGAGCGGGGATTTTTGTACATTACCCCATGGCCTTCGTTAGTAAAACCATTGTAATTAGATCTTCAAAAATAAGGCCCCACACATGATTTGAAGAGTCTTAATATTACAAGAATAGTTGTCTCATGAAAATAAAAAATATTAAATGTTCATTGTAATTAGATCTTTAAAAATAAGGCCCTACGCATGATTTAAAGAGTCTAGATTATAATGACAAGATATTTAATATTTTATTTTTCATTAGAGCTTTAATAACGTTATACACTCAATCTAAAATCAATAGTGTTAGCTCCCCAACGGAGTGGTTTACACTGGATGATTTTAGAAAGGCTAAACAAAATCGGGAATCATTTCATATAATAGACAAGGCATTGTCTTAAGAGATATGGAAATGATGGGATTTGCCCGCCAATAGCAATAATGAATTTCGCCAACCGAATAAGTTATTGGCGTATTGGTTATCCGATTTTTCATGCAGTGATTAAGGGACCCACATATTATTATTTTAATGGAAGTGCTCACCTAATAGTAAATGAATCCCAACAATAGTAATAATGAACTCCTTTATCAAGATAAGTTATTGACACATTGATTGAATGATTTATTATGCTACGGAGTTGAGGGACCCATATTAATTAAAAGGGAATGTTCACCAATAATGATAATAAAATCTTATTCTATTGAGATTTATTATACTATGTGGTTGACAAACTCATTTTAATTTTAAATATGCATGATAATATTAATAATTTACCTTGCATATTGTATGAATGCATTTATATTCAGATTTATTATGTCTAATCCATTTTTCCTGCTTGCTAACATATTCAATGTAATTAGACCTCAATTATACGGACTGGAAAAGGAATTTAGATATTTTATTCACAACGTAAGGGTACAAATGTATATATTACTCCTATACCTAATCCTTTTACTTTAAGATACCGAATTTGACATTAATGCTTTTAATAAATGAAATAAGGCAAATGATGTGACTTGGTGCAATATTCTAAGGTTTATCTCGAATATGCTCCAAAGCTAACATTTGCATTATTTTATTTTCTTCAAGCATCATGTTGAATGCCAATGAGATGTTTTGGTGAGATTAGATAGAGCATATGCCTAAGTACTGTGTCAAATTTAAATACCATCAAGATAACTTGAGGAACTCCAGTATGATATCGGATTTTGAAAAATGATTGTTTATTATTTAAAAATTAAACTGGAGGTCAAAAGGGCTGACTTAGGTGGTAAGTTTGAAGTTGACAAAATTATTGCCTTATTATCAAACTCGTTCGACTCTTTTAGAGTGAACTAAATAAGGGACAAGTTTGAGTTCACACTCGCTGATATTCTTATAGAATTGGTAACAGATGAAGGAATAATCAAGAGTATGGGCGTTCATATCAATCTAACCTAGTCTATACCATCTTCTTCTAGGCCCAAGTGAACGGGTAAAGGAAAGAAGAAGGATGATAATAGGACTAGGCTAGCACAAAACATGGGTATCTAAAAGGTTAAAGGGAATAAGGCCGTGTATGTTGAAGGCGCAGGAAACTGTTTCTTTTGCCGCTAACTAAGACACTAAAGGACGAACTGTCTAAGCAATGACGTGGTATAGGAAAATGTATATTTAATCATTGAGCCATGTTACGTGGTTGTATCTATTAATTTCTGATGGATAGATTCTGGAGTCACTAGACATATTTGCAATTCATTGCAAGGATTTCAGGAATCCAGAAGCCTCAATGATATGGATATATATTTGTCTTTTGACTTGATGCCAAGGTTGTAGCTAAGTCAGTGGGAGTATTACATCTGAAATTAGAGAGTATGAGGATATGAGTATTAGAGAACTATCTTTATGCATAGATGTTAGACACAATCTAATTCTTGTTTCACTTTTGGTTTATAAAAACTGTGTTATTATTTTGTAAAACTAGTTTTATCAAATTGAATAGATGTGCGGTTATTTCTGGTGCATTGAAAGGTGGTTAATATACTATAACTACAAGCTCATAAAATTTACAAGATGTAAAAACTAATGTTGCATCTTCTAGATTGAATGTTAAGAGAAAATTTGTCATTCTTGACTCATTATATTTTTAGTGTCTATTTTTGGGTTGTTATCAGTCAAAATGAGATTCAAAGATTGGTCAAAGAAGGTTTATAACCTAGTGAGGCAAGGGAGCCTAAACCAAACTTGTGAATCCTATTTTGAATGATAGATAACTCTAAGG